AGACAATTAGTACAGCCATTGACATCAGCAGAACTCCATGCCTATAGAAAAGAACTGCATCAATAAGGACAAGAGATCACACAATAACACAAAATGCATTAACAAATCATGGCCATAAGTCTGTGGTGTCCACAAACCTGTCCCTTCGCCCAGCACAACAACTGTTGTGGTGTGGATACATCAAGTGCTGCTGTACAGGTCTTAGCATGTGTGCGTTACACCTACACTGGCACTATTCTCCCACGGAATAACGAGCCCAAACAAGCCGAAGGCCCAAGGGTCCGCCTGTATGTGCCACGCATAATGTACAACCGGGTGTTAGCTGACCGCACATACTTCTCTTTGGGGTAGGGCGGCCAGGCCGCCTTTCGCTCCTTGCCGGACTTCAGCTTCCTTGTTGCTGCCCGGACCTTAAACTTGTTGTACACGCCAGAATGCACCACAAAGTAGAGGCTGGGCTGGCAGCCCTCCTGGCCCGGTGCAGGGATGCCCAGTCGCTTGAGCACGTTTTCAAGTTCATCAGCATTGAGTACCTTGCTACGCGAAATAGTCATCTGGAAAAGGTGCATCTCCGGCACCTTAAGGGCATCAATGACGGGGAAATTGCCGGACATGGGCCTCAAGTACATGTTCTTAATACTGCTCATCATATCACTGGCCTCGTCATCTGTGAAGCGAAGAGACTCTGTACAGGCCTGGATGTCCAGCTCCTCCTCCTCGCCTCGCTCCAGAGTCTCCGGGTGCAATGGCACCACATCAAACTTGCCGCCCATCGCCAGTACACCATGCATAACCTTCTCAAAAAGTATCCCCTTTACTGCTTTGGCGCTGTATTCCATCAGAGACTTCACTTGATCCTGCTCATCTATCCAAGCCCGTTTGGTGAACTCCTCAGCCACCCAATCAGAAGCAAACGTTAGCCGCTTCTCCTTGAAGTTGTCGTAAGGCACAATATGGACCAGGCGATGGCTCGCCTCAGGTCCCATGTCGATGGCATCCATGGCCGCCCGAACCTAATGTGATGGGAGCAACCAGGGAGGCAGGCCAGGCCACAGGTGTGTTGCATGTGAAAGGCAGGGTACAACTCGCCAAAAAATGAAACGTCAGCAGGACATGGGAGGACATAGGTGCTCAGCCGCAGTGTGAAAAAACAGAATGAGTTTCTACTGGATGGAAGGAACATCAACATTGAAAACTCAGGCAATGCAGGCGAAAACTAGGCAGTGACCTAAAACGACATGAAGTTCAGGCAGAGGACTAACAAACTACAATGGTTCACCTGTTGAACGTTGCAAGTAGCCAGGATTCTGGTCAGTGGCTGCAGCAGCCTAGGCAACCCCCAGCTG